ATAGAAAATAAGAATAATATAAACACAGGGAAATATAAAATATTAAATATAAGAATAAGAATAGTACAATATGTACAATATTTTACATTCACATTTATGCTATGGAACAGATATTCATATATATTTAAATAATATTTAGTGCAAAACAAAGAGAAATTGTGCAAAACTTTGTACATTAAAATGTGTCACCAAGTAGCTGATTTTTCCCTTATTTTTTGTTTTGTATTCATCATGACTCCATGGCGGAAGTGGAAAGCAGAGTGACTGTCGTAACAACAACATGGACCAGTGGGTTTTCCCAGGAAATGTGGCCCCGCCCTTATTGGCAGCGAGTCAAGGGAGGCGTTTCTGAACTGCCGAGCGGGTGCCAGGAGATGCCACAGGTTGCCACAGACTGCCGCTGCAGTGCCAGTACCTGCCAATGCCCCTGGGAGGATCTTGGCGCTGCTGGGTAGACCAGGACCTGAACTTCTCTTTCTGAAGAAATGAGAGCACTGCTGATTAAATCTGACTCAGTGGAACTATAAATGGATCAAAATGATGGCACTTCCTGTTTCATTAAGTTATGAAATGTTTTCAGAAGTTTAAAATCTGAGTTTATTTTTTTACCAGTTAGAACATGAACTTTGTTTCAGTTCAACCTCAGGTAACAGGAAGTGACATCAGAGGCTCTGGTGTTGTCTGGTTTTTAAAATAAAAACCCTGGGAGGTTTGTTTTGATTTTTCAGTCAATAAAACTTTTAAATCTTAAAACTGAGTCATTTTATTTTATGATTTTCTGCTGTGTCTGAAAAACTTAAGAAACGTTTCAGACTTTGACTCAGTTCGTTTTTACATTTTATTTTTAAAATATGAAACTTCTTTTTTGTCTTCAGTTGGTTTGAACTTCCTGCGACACATTGACGCTTCAGCTTCAGCCACGTTCTGCAGTTTCAGGTCTCGGCTTTCACACACATTCTCCACAGGAAGTGGATGTTCTGGTGGGTTCAGGTGTCTGCTGTCCAGGTTCTGCTGGGAGCTGACGGTGTCACCTCCACTGACTCCACCTCCAGGTGGAGACAGAACAGTTGGAGATAGGACAGGTGGAGACACAACAGGTGGAGACAGGGAAGGTGGAGATAGGACAGGTGGAGACACAACAGTTGGAGATAGGACAGGTGCAGACAGGAAAGGTGGAGATAGGACAGGTGCAGACAGGAAAGGTGGAGATAGGACAGGTGAAGACAGATGTGAGAATGCAGCTGAAACTCACCGTTTGTAGTTGTGCGTAGTTGAGTGTGTACTTGTTAAACTCATCACCTGCTCAGGTGAGTTTGTTTCTGTCTTTGACCTTTGACCATTTCATCAGTAATCTATTAACTTCTTGCTGCTGTGAAGCTCCGCCTCCTCACTGTGACTGTGTGTTACTGTGTTTTACTGTGTGTGTGTTTCGCACTGTGCAGGTACGTAAAATGAAACCCCCAGGCTGGAGCACATCCACCATAAAATGACAGAGGAGATCAAATTGAACATGAGTAAGTGTCCTCAGAGTGTCCTCAGAGTGTCCTCACATTCAGTCCCACATTAAACAGAGACACGTGGTCTCAGAGAGGCTCAGGTGTGGACGGGGCTAATGGAAGCAACTCTGTCCGTCTGTGTCTGTGTGTAAGTGTGTGTGTGTGTGTGTGTGTGTGTGTGTCTGTAACTGAACCCTCTGATTGGTCCAAACACATCATACACTGATTTTATTAACGATGAGCTGAGACACAATCAGAAGCTTCTGATCAGTCGGCTGCTTCAGGTTCTGATGATCATCATAATACAACAATAACAAGCACATCATATATAACACTGTAATTCATTATAACAGGTCAGATGGATCAGCTGATCACAGGTCAGATGGATCAGCTGATCACAGGTCAGATGGATCAGCTGATGGACAGACGAACGTCAGACAGACAGACTCCAGCTCAGTGTGAGCGACGCTGAAATTAATGACATTTATTTATTTATTTTCATCTCGTTTTGTTTTGTTCTATTTTAATGTTTATTTTTATTTCTATCTGTATTTTAAATGTTTATTTTATATTCATATCTTAATTTTATTTTACTCCATGTTTAGTTTATTTTTGAACATTTTTCCGTTTGATTTTAGTTTTATTTTGTTTCTCCGGCAGGAGGCAGGAGAGGGGACGTCACTAAACCGGAAACAGGAGAAGAAGTGGTTAAAGTATTTCCTGTTTGTGCCGGCGTGTTTTAGTTTGTTTGAGTTCGCCGCTGGATTCTTCATCGACACACAAAACTCCTCATCTTCTTTCTCTTCCTCATCCTCAGCAGCAGCAGACATGGTGAGCAGCTCATCTTGACTCTGAATCACTTCACAGTGACACTCTGCTTCGTAGCATGCTAACCTGTTAGCTTCAACTGGCGGCGAACGGCTCCGTTTAGTGACGTCATTGAGTGTTACTTTAATATATAAATCCGTGACGAAAGTTTTCTTACAGAGGAGGGGACAGGAGGAGACAGGACAGGAGGGGACAGGAGGAGACAGGACAGGAGGGGACAGGAGGGGACAGGACAGGAGGGGAGAGAACAAGAGGAGACAGGGCAGGAGGGGAGAGGACAAGAGGAGACAGGGCAGGAGGGGAGAGGACAGGAGGAAACAGTGCAGGAGGGGAGAGGACAGGAGGAAACAGTGCAGGAGGGGAGAGGACAAGAGGAGACAGGGCAGGAGGGGAG